GGCACTGGAGAAGGCGCTGGAGAAGGCGCTGGAGAAGGCACTGGAGAAGGCACTGGAGAAGGCGCTGGAGAAGGCGCTGGAGAAGGCGCTGGAGAAGGCGCTGGAGAAGGCGCTGGAGAAGGCGCTGGAGAAGGCACTGGAGAAGGCGCTGCAGAAGGCGCTGGGGAAGGCGCTGGAGAAGGCGCAGGAGAAGGCGCTGGAGAAGGCGCTGGAGAAGGCGCTGGAGAAGGCACTGGAGAAGGCGCTGGAGAAGGCGCTGGAGAAGGCGCTGGAGAAGGCGCTGGAGAAGGCACTGGAGAAGGCGCTGGAGAAGGCACTGGAGAAGGCACTGGAGAAGGCGCTGGAGAAGGCGCTGGAGAAGGCGCTGGAGAAGGCGTGGGAAGGCGCTGGAAGAAGGCGCTGGAGAAGGCGCTGGAGAAGGCGCTGGAGAAGGCGCTGGAGAAGGCGCTGGAGAAGGGCCCACTGGCAAAAGGCGCTGGAGAAGGCGCTGGAGAAGGCGCTGGAGAAGGCGCTGGAGAAGGTGCTGGAGAAGGCGCTGGAGAAGGCACTGGAGAAGGCGCTGGAGAAGGGCCCCTGGAGAAGGCGCGGGAGAAGGGCGCTGGAGAAGGCACTGGGAAGGCGCTGGAGAAGGCGCTGGAGAAGGGCCCGCTGGAGAAGGCGCTGGAGAAGGCGCTGGAGAAGGCACTGGAGAAGGCGCTGGAGAAGGCGCTGGAGAAGGCACTGGAGAAGGCACTGGAGAAGGCGCTGGAGAAGGCACTGGAGAAGGCGCTGGAGAAGGCACTGGAGAAGGCACTGAAGAAGGCGCTGGAGAAGGCGCTGGAGAAGGCGCTGGAGAAGGCGCTGGAAATATTATTGTCCATCATACTGTTGGGTTTTTGAAAACACACAGAAGTCACTGGAAACCTGTCATACAAGTAGATATTTGAGTACACAGAGTGCCACACCTACAGTCATTAATGAAGTGAGGATGTGTAGTTTAGAGAGGACCCGATGAATATAACATTCTGCTAGGAATTAGGGCATCATAACGTTTAATTCCTAAGATAAAATCCGATGACAACTTCGTGCTTCGTCTTGTCGTTGTGTTTCGCCTGGAAGTGAATTATATCATCCTTGAATTAGTGTTGATTTGGTTAATTGATAAATCAAAACTGAAGCACCTAGAAGAAAGGAAGATTGTCTTAATATTCTCGTTTACGAGTGCTGGCCATGAAGGTGGTGACTGTTCCAGCCTCAAGATACTACACCACGTAATGTCAGCTTGTAAAACCATAATAAGGTACTCAAAAAATTTGCATGTACTTAAAAAAACCATTTGTGAGGAGAAACCACTAGAGACAAACAATTCTAATCAATGGTATAAATACACCTGACTTACTATGTTAATAATATTTATGTTATTCTCACGATTAACTACGATCACTTGATGACGTGGAACGACTCCTAACTTAACATTAAGAAAGAGAATATTTTATTTTAGGTAGCAAAGATACGTTGCCAGGTAACGTCATTAAACATTTTGTGCGTCCCGCGTATAAGTGATGTTTTATATATTTTTCTGTTTTAGTCTCTACCGGGGTTATAAATTCCCTCGTGTGTAAAAAACGAAATTTTGAAATAATGTTACCCAAACTTGCGTGTCTCCGATATGTAAATCTTCTTACGCTGTAAAAGCAAAAGGAACATTACGTTTTAAAGAATCTCTAAACCCAAGTGGGTTAATCGGCCCAAGAGGTGATAGATGCTGCATATAACCTCTTCACCACCAGACAAGTCTACTAAAATATCTATGTTAATGATTAAATCATACACAAATATCATGTATACAGCTGTGGGACTACACACAGCTGTGGGACTGCACACAGCTGTGGGACTACACACAGCTGTGGGACTGCACACAGCTGTGGGACTACACAGTCAAGCAGCTGTGAAACTACACACAGCTGTGGGACTACACAGTCACACAGCTGTGGGACTACACACAGCTGTGGGACTAGCTGTGGGACTGCACACAGTCATACAACTGTGGGACTGCACACACTCACACAGCGGTGGGACTACACAGAGTCACACAGTGTGGGGCTACACAGTCACACAGGGGGACTACACAGTCACACAGCTGTGGGACTACACAGTCACACAACTGTGGGACTACACAGTCACACAACTGTGGGACTACACACTCACACAGCTGTGGGACTACACAGTCACACAACTGTGGGGGCTACACAGTCAAAACAGCGTGGGGCTACACAGTCACACAACTGTGGGGCTACAAAAGTCATACAACTGTGGGACTACACACAGTCACACAGCTGTGGGACTACACAGTCACACAAGTGTGGGGCTACACAGTCATACAACTGTGGGACTACACACAGTCACACAACTGTGGGACTACACAGTCACAGCTGTGGGACTACACAGTCACACAGCTGTGGGACTACACAGTCACACAACTGTGGGACTACACAGTCACACAGCTGTGGGACTACACAGTCACACAACTGTGGGACTACACAGTCACACAACTGTGGGACTACACAGTCACACAGCTGTGGGACTACACAGTCCCCACAGCTGGGGAAATACACAGTCACACAGCTGTGGGACAACACAGTCACACAGCTGTGGGACTACACAGTCCACAACTGTGGGACTACACAGTCACACAGCTGTGGGACTACACAGTCACACAACTGTGGGACTACACAGTCACACAACTGTGGGACTACACAGTCACACAGCTGTGGGACTACACAGTCACACAGCTGTGGGACTACACAGTCACACAGCTGTGGGACTACACAGTCACACAACTGTAGGACTACACAGTCACACAACTGTGGGACTACACAGTCACACAACTGTGGGACTGCACACACTCACACAGCTATGGGACTACACACAGTCACACAACTGTGGGGCTACACAGTCACACAGCTGTGGGGCTACACAGTCACACAACTGTGGGACTGCACACACTCACACAGCTGTGGGACTACACAGTCACACAACTGTGGGACTACACCCGTCACACAGCTGTGGGGCTACAAAACAGTCACAACAACTGGGGAACTACACAGTCACACAGCTGTGGGACTACACAGTCACACAGCTGTGGGACTACACAGTCACACAACTGTGGGACTACACAGTCACACAGCTGTGGGACTACACAGTCACACAACTGTGGGACTACACAGTCACACAGCTGTGGGGCTACACACAGTGACAAAGCTGTGGGACTACACACAGTCACACAGCTGTGGGACTACACAGTCACACAGCTGTGGGACTACACAGTCACACAGCTGTGGGACTACACAGTCACACAGCTGTGGGACTACACAGTCACACAGCTGTGGGACTACAAAAGTCACACAGCTGTGGGGCTACACAGTCAAAACAACTGTGGGGCTACACAGTCACCAATGTGGGACTACACACAGTGACAAAGCTGTGGGATTACACACAGTGACAAAGCTGTGGGACTACACACAGTCACACAGCTGTGGGGCTACACAGTCACACAACTGTGGGACTACACAGTCACACAGCTGTGGGACTACACAGTCACACAGCTGTGGGGCTACACAGTCACACAGCTGTGGGATTACACACAGTGACAAAGCTGTGGGACTACACACAGTCATACAGCTGTGTGACTACCCACAATCACACAGCTGTGTGACTACCCACAATCACACAGCTGTGGGGCTACACACAATCACACAACTGTGTGACTACACACAATTACACAGCTGTGGGACTATACACAGTCACACAGCTGTGGGATTACACTGTCACACAGCTGTGGGACTACACACAATCCCACAGCTGCGGGACTATACAATCACACAGCTGTGGGACTATACACAATCACACAGCTGTGGGACTACACACAATTACACAGCTGTGGGACTATACACAGTCACACAGCTGTGGGACTACACGCAGTCAGACAGCTGTGGGACTAAACGCAGTCACACAGCTGTGGGACTACATACAATCACACAGCTGTGGGACTACACACAATCACACAGCTGTGGGACTACACACAATCACACAGCTGTGGGACTACACACAATCACACAACTGTGGGACTACACACAATCACACAGCTGTGGGACTACACACAATCACACAACTGTGGGACTACACACAATCACACAGCTGTGGGACTACACACAATCACACAACTGTGGGGACTACACACAAACCACAACTGTGGGACTCACACAATCACACAGCTGTGGGACTATACACAATCACACAACTGTGGGGCTACACACAATCACACAGCTGTGGGAGTATACACAGTTACACAGATGTGGGATTACACACAATCACACAGCTGTGGGAGTACACAGTCACACAGCTGTGGAACTACACAGTTACACAGCTGTGGGACTACACAGTTACACAGCTGTGGGACTACACACAGTCAGACAGCTGTATTGATCCAGTCACGGTATTGTGCCTTTTTTTGTTCAGTAAACACTTAGTGAGTATACACATGGAAATATACACCCCTCGGTGTATATTCTCCCAAAATATATACCTCTAGGGCTTAATCCTAGCAGCTACTGAGTGGGTCATTATAGCTGCATGTCACCTGCTCTCTAAGAGTCAAGAATGCTCTAAACCCTGAAGTAGAGATTAAACTCATCGAATATTTACTGAGAGATATTTTCCTTTCAGTGTAAATATCTTTTCGAATATTATTATTATAATCACAGGAATGCTAAACCCGTAGGATTATACAGCGCATGTGGGGGGATGGAAGGTATTCAGGCTCAATTCAGGGACCTGGAGCACAGATCCAATTCCCTAGATCAAGAGCCCCTCACCAGCATCAAGGAACCTCCCTTGAGGGGTATATCTTTTCGAAACACGATCATTAGGGCCATAAGCTTCCTGACCACCACAAGCTCAATACACCTAAAACAAACACTAAATTTAAATCTTAGCAAGCGTTGATACTTTCTCCTCCACAGGCATCACAATACTCTACCGGAAGCCCACGAAGAAACCTCCCAACTTGTTCAGCTTCCTGTCACCATTGTCCCTGGATGTGTGGCTGTACATGGCCACAGCGTACCTCGGTATCTCTCTCCTCCTCTTTGTGTTAGCAAGGTCAGTAACTCACACTAACAAGACGGTTTTCTCAACATGTTTGTGTTGTCTGGGCTATGAACTTTTGTGTTTATGGCTTCCATTGAATTCTGAGGGTTATTTGTGACTGTTATTTCGTATATACATTTGTTGATGTGTGTGTGTTAGACTGTATATGTGTGCATGTATGTATGTATTAGTGTGCGTGCGTGCATGCGTGTGGATTTGCGAATGTATATGTGATGTTTTTACGCGTGTACTCATCTAGTTGTGGTTGCAGGGGTCGATTCACAGTTCCTGGCCCCGCCTATGTGTGCGAGTCAGTGTGTTTATTATCTTGACTGGCAGTTGTACATGCACATGTACGTTCGCCTACTCATATATACAATATAATTTTACATGTATAAATATTTTTAAAATATATTATATATATATATATAATATATATATATATAAATATAAAATATATAATAATATATTATATATGCAAGACAGCCACGGAGGGTGGAAATCTTTATCTCAAGTACTTTCACACTACACAGTGCGTCATCAGGAGCTGTGCAATGTTGCAAGGGAGCAACCAAAGCATGAAGAGAGGTCTCAGGGTAGCGTAGGTGTCGCCGGCCACGGTTACCCTTAGACTCGAGTCTAAGGGTATATACGCTGATTTATCCTGGTATAAATGCATTTTCAAAAGTAAATACACACGTGATGACTTATTATCATAATAATAACCAGAGGGAAAGATTATACACATTTCTTGAGCTGATGTACCTGAATCTAAATGTAACTGTATTTATGCTAATCTCTGATTCAATTTTATTTTGTGTATTCCCACACTCAGTTATATTTTGCGAATCTTTATATTCATATATTTATAACATGAGTAATCATACGTGAAAGCTCAATAAAAATATTAATTTTTTTTCTCTTTAAAGCCTGTCTAAAATACACCGGAGATTAATTATTCTAATATCGGAGAGCTATAATAATTCTTAAAAGTGTTTCTCTGAAGTGTAGTTAATGTTATTAATGTATTCATCTACGTTAGAATCATCAGTGTAATTTTATATATAGTAGTATTATCACAACCATTCTTATCCATGAAAGTATCATCATTGTAATTATCATCCATTCTGGTATCAATCATATTAAAATCATCACTGTTAGAATTATCCATATTAGTATTGTACTTGTTGTCGGCAACAACATCTTTCTGCAACACTGTTCTTCTTATGAAGGACCTTTGTGAGCCTTGATCAAATAATGTTAACACATTGGTTTTGTGTAATTTATTCGATAACTCAACTCGAGCTATAGGGAGAGCAGTTGCTTTAAACTTATCTCTCACATTTAATGCTGTTGCTTGTTGACTTCCTGATTCTGTAGAAGTCTGCTGCTGTTCAGCAAAAGCATTTGGGTATAATGCTGTATGATGCATACCCTTGCATTTAAAACACTTCTTCAGTGAGCATTTTTCTCCCTTGTGTTCACCTAAACACTTGATGCATCTTTTCAGCTGACGAACACGTTGTTTACGTGCCTCAATTGATGTGTATTGACTACAATACTGTGCCCAATGTGTTCCATCACAAAGTACACATTTTGGAGTACGTTTATGTATGACAGTCTGTTTACTGTCTATTGTATTCACAGCTTGATAAATGCCTATATGGGATTTCCCATTATGTGGTTTAGTGGGAGTAGTTATACTCTTTTTATACTGAGTTGATGGTTTGTTATCCACTGGATTTGTGGATTTTTCATCTTGTCTCGTTGCTTGCATGCATGAAACTATTGTTTGTAAACCATTGCTAATTTCCTCACAAGTGAAATAGTGTTTATTAAACATAATATTTAATCGTTCAATAGTTTGTGGTGACAACTTATCCTGTACAATACCACTGATAAACCAATCACATTGTCTTAGGTCATATTTAGCACCTAGAGATCTGAGACTATTGTCTAATGTGATTCTAAATGCCTGTAAGTCTGAAAAACAAGGTTTGGGTGGCTTCAAGCTTGATATTAAGACTGCATGTCTAACTCTAGCCTTGTCATCATCAAAGTAATTGTCTGCTAAGACACGTAAGGCTATTTGATAATTGCCTTTGACCACCGGAAATGACTTAATCAGTTCATAGGTAATTGAACTTAGCAATCTCATCTATGTCAGTTCGTGAATTTACTATGGATTGAAAACCACTAATGAATTCTTCAGAATTATGACCTTGGAAAATAGGTAATGACAATGTAGGTAAGCTTGGTAATGGGACACTTGTTGTTACAGGTGTAACAGGTGTTTGACCACTAGTAGTAGGTCTCTGTGACAGAGTTTTACGGCAGATAGCCTGTACTCCTGTCCACCTTAATTGTTGATTACTAAAAGTATCCAAAACATTTTTAATTTCATCCTCAGATGGATCTGATTCAAGAAATTTATTTTCATAATGTGTATAGTCTGAATTAATTATTTTCATACGTTGTGTAAATAATTCAAACTTGACCTCAAGATCATCAAAATCTATGTTTGTATCTTGAGTTAATCCTATACAGACTGAAATTAGATTTTCTAATTGTGTAATCTTAGTCTGTAAAGACTGAAACTGAGTTTTCAAACAAGCCATTTTAATGGTATACTGAAAATTCTAGCACCACACTTAGAGTGTTTAAAAAACACTGTACTGCTATAAACAGCTGAGTTTTTGTTATGCTTAAGTCAGCAATAATCGAGTCAGACACTAATGACCTACTAAGCTTAACCTCAGGGTCAATGACCATGAAGGGTACACAGTACATATGGCTGGTGTTTATGGCTTGAGTTTGCTGTGTCAGCCTGACCACGATGATTAATCGTAAATAACGTTATACACTTCATTCACTATACACCTAAATGTCACTGTATAACTGTAAATCACACGTGAATATTACTTACACATATATAAATGTCACTGTTAATATATATTTGAAAGCTTACACTTTATATAAGTTCCTTTAATATAACAGGTATATCTATAAGAAACAAACTTTAACACAATCTTGTCTCTTAATTTCTGTCTAAACATTATAAACACTATGTGTATATATATATACACTCAGACAAACAACATCACTTGGGTTGCTGTTGTCTTAATCAGCATTTTCTCGAGATTGGAGCAGTTGATGGAGGGTGCAGGATACCATCCCCCGTCTTCTTGTTGGGTGAGTCACCCAGCTCCCGTTTTCGTTGGGTGAACGCTGGGTGAGCGCCCGTTTTCTTTTGGCTGCCCATTCTCTGTGATTGAGTCTGGAGGGACTCATTTATACTGATTTATATTGTAAAACACTAGTTTTACAGCTTTTTTCGAAGGACCTTGGCTCATAGGTTATTTGTACACTGTAGTACAACATATTTGGACCACAGTGTGGTCTTTATCCGGTTCGAGCACGACCAATTCTGTTGAAGATATTGGCCTTACCAGCTATGTTTTATTTATAAATATAAATATAGGAAACACTTAGCTGATAAATGACAGCAAATCGTCTACACAGCCGCCCCTGCAGACGAGGTCTAGAAGCTGTCGAAACCATCTCAACATGGGCTGTCAAGAGATATAATTTGTAAATTATAAATTACCCCTAGGGGGTGTTATGTCAGCATATTTCATACACTGGTGGCTGACGATGTACGTACTTGTTTGGACTCAAAAGTCCACACCTTACTGCCGACTATAGGTTGATTACAAACTCCTTGCGACTCAAGAACTGCGCAGTCCCCCGATCTACAAGAAATTCGTAACATACCTTGCTCTTGTAATGTGAGCTATGGTGTTCTCAACACCTTCGACAGGTATCGGTGACTTGATAGAAGCTGAAGTGTCCTTGGATGTCCACGTCTTCCATTGTCTAGGAAACGCACACTGGTACACTATGTTCCACAAAATTTGTCTTTATTGTTCACAATGTATCACAAGAGAAGCTGATCACACTTCTCTTATGTTTATTGTGTTTGAGACACTTTGTTCACACTAACGCACAGATCAGTGTTCTTTGCTAGTTATCCTGGCGTCAGTGTCACTCTCCCAGAGTCAAAAGCAATCTGGCGACGCCACACCGCCCCAAGCCATTGCTGCCCCTTGCACAAAGAAAAAGCTGACCTAGTACTTTTTGCTTCCTTGCCACTTCCTCGATGAAGCAAAGCAAAATGTTTAAATCTTGCTGTTTAAGCATAGAAAACATTGTCCACTATCTTTACCATGGTAATAAAGTGGGAGCAGGATTTTCCTTAATTGTCCTGCTAAAGTAAGATATATACTGTCTCTTATAAAAATACACTTTGCAACACCGCTGCAAGGAGCAGAGGTCACTTGACTACGTCGCATAGCATCTGTGATCAATTACTCACTCTAGCAGTAAACAAAACGCTCGCCCCTTCTGAGAGGGCTTGGCCCCTCAGGGCTGAAAGGGGCTGAAGGGGCTGAAAGGGCTGAAGGGGGCTGATATCCCCCTCCTGGAGAAAATTTCTCCACAATATTAGTATTACACTTGTTGTCGGCAACAACATCAGATAGGCCCTTACAAGAATAATTCTCCATGTAGCTACCATGGCCACGTCTTTTATCAGACAATTTACCCTGAAAGACTTCTATGACGAATCTAAAAATGAAGTCAGTGCTTATACAACACCCTGCAGCGGGTTTACCAAGATCTTTGTAAATGACACCAGGAGAAATATTTCTACTCGTGTTTGAGAATACAGAAATGCATGCAGACTTGTGTCTTGCAAAGATGTAAAGAGGAGCATATAAAGCAGAGTTAATTTAATGGAACATGGAACAATAAAGAAGCAAATACAGTACGTCAATTAACCTTGCACATATTATGCTACCTTAGTCTGATTCCCTGCTGCCGTGTGTCACAGTAGCTAGATGACCTACTGTTTTATCCACTATACATATTGTGTTATCTCACTCTTGAATTGCCTGCCAGCCAGGTATGGTTTGTGTAATCATGACCGGTTTAATAAGTGGTTTTAACTCAGG